ATATATAATGATAAATATCATTATATATATATATACACACACACACACACACTGACTAAATACTTTTTTGCCCCACTGTATATATAATGATAAATATCATTATATATATATATACACACACACACACATACACACACACATACATACATACATACACACACACACACACACTGACTAAATACTTTTTTGCCCCACTGTATATATAATGATAAATATCATTATATATATATATACACACACACACACATACACACACACATACATACATACATACACACACACACACACACACACATACATTGTTTTATTATGCTGCTGTATGCCACTTACAGCTGCATAATTGAAGCCATAATCCTAATCATAATACCACCATGATGAAACATGCCTCAGATGCCATGACACATGGGGAGAAGTTTGCACTGCAACTTCGTGGTGTGTGGTTCATTACTTGCTCACCTTGTTCTTCTCCGCAGATTAAAGTAGCATAAAAGCACTCAAAATGTATAATTTTTAAAGTAGTTTTTATTAAAAGATTTTACATATATAATACGTAGTACATTCAGAGAAAAAGATACAGTAAATGTGAAAGAGAATATTTACACACACACACACCCTATATATATATATATTTGAAAAGCCACACATCAAAAGAATTAGAAGGGAGCTAGAGCTTGAATATGTTTCTGCCCTAATGAGAATATTCACGTCTATTGGCTAATGAGAATATTTATAGTAGTTAGGTAAGCAACATGTTCTTATTATACAGAAAAAAAAATGAAAAACTTTAATTTTGAAAAAGTTTGGTTATCCTTAAGTGGAAGCAGGGAAAAAGGAACATAACTTTACTAAAATCATAATATTGTTTAAAAAATTATAGAGAACTGAAAAAAGTGTGGAAGATAGTTTCTTTTAACGAAATCAGAAAGTGTGGTAGGGCTTTTAGAAGTTACACCAGAACCACAGTAAAATATCAGTTCCTCAAGAAATTTGAAAATGTGATCAAGTTGTATTTGGTACAGAGCGTGACAGACAGAGGCACTAAAGCATACTTATAATGATCTCCATTTCCTGAATTGTTTCTTTATCTTAAAACACTTTTGAATATTATTTATTTATTTGTTTGATTGGTTGGTTGATTGATTTATATAGCTGCCCATCTCACATACATGATTCTGGGTGGCTTACAATAAAATAGATAAATAATATAAAATAAAAACACACAGCAGCCAAACATCATAAAATAATCATCAACAAGGCCAAGAGACAGGCTCTGTCACACATCCGGGGCCCCAGATGAAGTTAAGTGGAACAGAAAGTGGTACCTCATTCTCTCATGCCTTAATGTGCCTTTGTCTCATGCAAAATTCATTTTATATCTTTTAGGAAAATTTATTGTTTTAGGATTAAAATCTATATGAGCATTCCTGTATTTCCAATCCAATTAATTTAGATAGCAAATTTTAATCACTGCTAGTGAAAGTATACAAGCTCCAAACTGTATTAATGGAGGGATGTAATTAGATGTGTGTTGATCATTTTTAAAAACAAATTCTCCAACTTGAAAGTTGTGTATTTAATTATTAAATGGCTTACTTACCAAATCTTAAGACATTTCATGGAATAATTTTGATTTTTTTAGTGATCACTTGGGTCTCTAGGTAAGAGTCATACTTTTTTTCCTCTTTTCTTTTTCACTAATAAGAATTGTATTATTTACACTCTTCCCCAATAGTCTTGGTGGAGGACCAGATGATGCTAAAGAAATTATGCGACACAGCTTCTTTGCTGGAATAAATTGGCAAGATGTATATGATAAAAAGGTAGGTTTGTATGAGATAAAAGAAATTCCTAAGAATTCCCAAAGAGAACATACCTTATTTCAATTATAACAAATGCATATCAGGTAAAATGTAGCAGACTAGCAAAAAAAAAAAAATCTAGACTTAACAATCTTGGCCTTTCCTGAATTAATAGAAGCATCTTACTTCTACTGAACTGAGTATAACTTTTTTTTTTAAAAAAAAGCGCTTACATTTAGTGAAATCAGACATGTGTTTCATAATTATATAATCCCTAGTTTAAAATAAAACTAAGAAATAATTTGTTCCTTCGTTAAATTGCTTTAAGTGTATTGCAGAAACCTGAGATATAAATTGGATAAATATATAATTACATTTAGAAAGCTGAATGCGCATGTGTTTCTAGATAAATGTGGAACTATGTTTTCAAATGTTTGCTATGTGGAAGATTCAGCCCAATCTGTGAGCTATTGCAGGTGGGGAATGATAGGTTGGATTTCATCCTTTCCATTGAATCATACTGATGCTAATCAGAGATAGGCAATTTGATACCTTGCAGTATTTATAATTACAACTCCTGTAAGCTGCAGCCAATGTGGGTAGTGATTCTGAAGGCCATGTGCCAAAATATCCTGAAACCATCGGCTTGATTAACCCTGAGTATCAATATGGGTCCCATGGATTCAAACCTTTGAATTTGGTTTATCTATCAGAAAGAGCTTAGAAATTGGGTCATATATATCATCTTCCCTCTATACTTTTGTAATATATATTGACCAGAAGACAGTGGTAGTGATAGATGTAGCAGTGCCAAGTGACAGCAACATCAGGAAGAAGGAGCATGAGAAGCTGGAGAAGTA